TGCCACTGGGGAGCGCGAAACACGCTGGTGTAAACGCGGCGTGTCGCTGGTGCGCTTTATGTCAGTTTGATTCGAACCTCTTCAGCGTTGCGCTTGCGTAGCGAGAAATGCACCAAGGTTGGCGCTCCTGTCCCACAACGCTGCGCTGCCGTTGCATCTGCGCATCTACGTCTACACACCCTCACCTCTGTACATTTACACCTTCACACGCTCACGTCCGCAGATCTACCTCTCTACTTCCACGCACCCACACATCTGCACATCTATATCTCTCCTGCGCATCCACACTGTCACTCCTTCACATCCGCCCTCTCTTTCTCTCTTTCTACATATCTTTTCTCTTAAAATCTAATTGCTTCGCAACTTCTTACCCAATAACAGATTGTATAAAGAAGTCATGGCTCTTGGACAATTCGATTTTAAATATTTCCTCACTCGGAATTGCTTGACAATCACCTTTCTCGCTCTCGGGCCACCGTCGTCTAGTCTTCCGACGAAGGGCCTTGAAGGTACAGTTCAAGGTCTTGGAATGCACCGTGCCTTCTTCAGGTCGATCACCAATCCCAAGTCCTGTTGCGCCTGTAGTGACATGAGCATCGGAGCTTCAGACTCCTCGATCTCCATCGAAGTCAACTCCTCCAGCACTTTGTACCCTTCTTCAGTCTCCAGCCCGATGTACATCTTGCGGCTCCCTGTAGAGACTCTGAGGCTCCACCAATCCCTGTCGAGGGTTTGTAGCTTGTTGAAGCCCACAACGATCGTATCCTGTCTTCTCGATGAATTTCTTCATCCATAGGGCTCCGTGACAAGTCGTGTTGCACCCTGCGTACAAATAGATGGTCAGCCCTTCATTGTCCATGGTTCCCATAACGAAGTCTCCGCCACCAGATGGGGTGTCCTGGTCTTCATTTGTGAGGTCAATGACGTCGGTGGTCACCATGTAGCCAATGGTGCAGGGTCAGTATCTCTTCTCATGATGCAGTAGTCGTGGAATCGTTGGATGTTGGCGCAGTAACAGTAAGCACGATCTCCGCAGAGGGTTGCGCCGCGCCGGGCAAAAACGCAATCTCACCTGCGTTTCGCGCCCTGGACACGCACGATCTCCGCAGAGGGTTGCGCTGGACCGGACAAAAACGCAATGCATTTCGCGCCCTCGACACCTACGATCTCCGCAGAGGGTTGCGCCGGACCGGGCAAAAACGCAATCTCACCTGCATTTCGCGCCCTCGACGCGCACGATCTCCGCAGAGGGTTGCGTTTCGCGGTGCTCCGGCGGCGCCGCCCCCGGCCTTAAGAGAAGAAGAGCGAGAGGTGAAGATGTGAGATGTGCAATGGTGAGGATGTGAAGATGAGCAGAGATATAGGTAACATAGGTGAAAATGTAGACGTGCAGAGGTGAAGACGTGAAGATGTAGATGTGCAGATGCGAAGGTGAGAAAATTAGATGTGCAGTGATGAGGTAGATGTGCAGATGTGAGCATGTGAAGATGTGAAGATGAGCAGAGATATAGGTGAAAATGTAGATGTGCAGAGGTGAAGATGTGAAGGTGTAGATGAGACGTAGTTCTGCAGATGTTTTTTACGAAAAACCCTTCGC